AGTTAATAGAATGTGTGTAGTGGCTCTGGAACTTGAGCTATTTATGCATTGGCTTTGGAATTTAAGCTGCTTACTAGAAATAGAAATCAATCTCCTCATCTTATTAGACCATCTTAAAAATAATATATTATTAGAACTTACAATTCTTAGCTACATTTAAAAATCAATATTCAATATATCATTGATTTCTTAAAAAGTTTGGATACATATTACATTGTTTAGAATTAAAGTTGTCCTAATTAAGTTATTTTTTAAAGAGCCCCTTTTTATGGACAACATAAAAACTTCACTGAAATCACATTCTGAAATTTTAAAAAAATATACTAGTTACAGACCTTCAAAAACAACATGGAATCTCTACAATATTCTGTAGAAAGCTGTTTATCCTGACAAGTACCTTTGCAGCTTTCTATGCTTAAGCATCCAGAACTAAACTAAAAGGAAAATATAATAACTTTTTCAACTCAAGAGTGAATACTGTACACCCATGGGAAGTTCAAACAACAAAGTCTCTAGCCTATACAGTTCTACTTTTTTCTACAGGACTCCATTTCTCATATGATCCCATCTGTTTTGCACCAGAATCTATTAGAATTTTTTTATTGATGTTCTCGTTTGCCTTTTTTAAAAAAGACTTTTTTTAATGCCTCCTACATTAGGAACCTGGACTGTTTGCTGCCCAGGCGATTGATATGCACCTTTGCGGTCACGTTGTCAGTGTAGACGAGGATGTGGCGTCCCTCCAGGTGACAGCTGAAGTGCAGGAGCGCCAGGCGGATGGCCCTCAGTTCCAGCCAATTTATGCTGTGTAGGCTACCCGACGGAGACAAGAGGCCCTGGCCAATGTCCGAGCAAAGGTGCGCTATCCAGCCCGACAGGCTGGCATCTGTGGTCACCAAGATTTGGGTCGGCTCTCAGAACAGGGTCCCCTGGGAAATCACCGATGATATCCACCACCTCAGGGAACCGCGCACCATTGGTCCTATGCCCTTGGCGAATGGCCTCAGAAATTATGGTGGCCATGTCAGGTTGAGATCCCGGTTGGATCCCAATGGTCAGAGTAGCAGTCACAGCCTGGCACGTACTGCCCCTGGGGGAATTGGGAGTGACCTCACCTTCTTCCTGTTCTTAAAGGGAACCTTTCTCCCTGCTATCTGCGGACAAATCTTGGGCAGAAGAGGATCAGGAGATACAGAAACCTCTTCAGAGGGCTCAGAATGGATTTAGGCCTGCACAGTAATTTGGGAGGCCCATTTCTCAGATGCCTTCTGAGTTCTGGCAAATTCATGATCCAGGGCTCTTTGCCTCCTCTCTTCTGCCAGTTGTGAGGCTTTTTGAGAAGGCCCAGCTTTGGGAGGAGGATTGTGGGTTGTATGTGAAGTTCAATAAAGAATAAAAAAACAAGTCAAAAGTTATATAAAATCAATTAAAAAAAGCAGAGCTCATAACTGACATTGGTATAACAAACACTCACTTGTATAAGAGAACGGGTTCATTTAATGGGCTAGATTTTTACAGCTTTATGGAAGGCTAATGGAATTTGGCATCCTACTTAGCAGAGTTGGAAGTCTATTCTTGCAGTTTCTTGCTTAGCTTGTCCAGAAAAGTCAGACAATTTCAGCAACTACTTTACTTCCAATAAATAAGAGGTAAAATTCATTTGAGGTTTCTAGATCCAGATGTTGGCAACTGACCCTTTTGCCATCTTACTGACCCATGAACTTATTTCAGTATCAAAACCATGTAACTCAGCAGCCATCAGATTAATCATTTGAAGCAAAAAATGAACTCATTTACCAGCAAACGGTTCTCCCTCACAGAAAAGCGCAACAGCATTCAGATAGTAAAAGATCATCCCCCATGAAAACAAAACACACTGCCAAAACCCATTCATAAACTACAAGCCTTTATCTGCCAGCTACAGATGCAAATAGCATAAGGTCAGGTCAGAAGCAATCACAATAATGGCAGTTATGCCGACTTTCTTGGGGTTGAAGGAAGATGACAAAATGGTTGCCAACTTCTCATGGAAACTAGATCATGTTGTAGGAACCAAGCCTGTAGTGGAGAGTACAGATAGTAGTCCTTGACTTATAACAGAGCATATAGTGACAATTCAAAGCTACAACAATAGTGAAAAAGTGACTTATGACCATTTTTGACAGTTATGACCATTGTAGCACCCCCATGGTCATGAGAACAAAATTTGGATGCTTGGCAACTGACTCATACTGTATTTACGATGGTTGCAGTGTCCCGAGGTCATATGATCACCTTTTGCAACCTTCTGACAAGGAAAAATCAATGGAGAAGCCAGATTCACTTAACGTTAGTAACAAGTGCAGTGATTCATTTAATAAGTGGCAAGAAAGATAATAAAATAGGGCAAAATTCACTTAACAACTTTTCACTTAACAACATAAATTTTGGGCTCAATTACAGTCGTAATCTGAGGACAACTGTAGTCTGCAGCAGGAGAAAAAAGGCTTTTCAGAGGGCAAAGAGATAGCAGTTTGGAAGGTAGGCAGGAAGAGAGCAAGTTTGTATCTTCCCTAGCAATTTGTGAAATACAGGTGGTCCTTATCTTACAATTATTAGTTTAGTGACAGTATGAAGTTACAATGGTACTGAAAGAAATGAGTTATGACTGTTTTTCATACTTATAATCATTGCACCATTCCCATGCCCATGTGATGAAAATTCAGACACTTGGCAACTTACTCATATTTATGATGGTTGCAGTGTCCCAGGGTCATGTTGGTCACCTTCTGACAAGCAAAGTCAATGAGGGAATCAGATTCACTTTACAACCGTGTTACTAACTTAACAATTGGAATGATTCACTTAACAACTGTGTCAAAAAAGGTTATAAAAATGGGGCAAAACTCACTTAACTGCCTTACTTAGCAAAAGAAACTTTGACATCAATTCAGTGGCGGGCTGCTGCCTAGTGAGACTGTTTCGGGTGAACTGGTAGTTGTGATCATGGCTGGGCCCATCCACCCACACCTGCACTATCCTTTCCATTTATAACTAACGTTCTGACTTGTTCCACCTGCCCACACGGCCCAGCTGAGTTCCGTGCCGCACCAGCTGTACTCACTGGAGCTGCCTGAGTTTATTAGCTGCACATTTGAAGCTGTTTCAGCCCCGAAGAGGTGTGTGTGAGTGAAGCGCATACGCACATGTGCTCATGCTCACAACCAGCGAACCGGTTGTTAAAGGTAAGTGAAGCCCACCTCTGGATCAATTGTGATCATAAGTCAAGGACTATGACTATATCTATAATTATTGCAGGTAATTGCTGTAGTCTAG